CCCAGGTCACGGGGGGTGTCGCTGGAGCCCTGGGAGGGGAAGGAACTTGAGGGGCTGAGGCGGAGTGCAGCCCTGGGCCACCGGACTCCGTGTCCAGTGCTCTACCCAGGAGGCAGGAGATGGGCTCAGCTGTCAGGAGTAGGTGAGTCATGGGCGGTGAGGGCGGTGCTCAGATGGGAAGGCCCGAGGATGGCCCGCTCAGGAGGAGGGCGGGGACCACCCGAGGCCAGTGGATTCCACCTCAGGCCCTGCTGCTTTATAGGGGTGACTCTGGGCCTATCCTCAACCTCACTAAGCCCCGGGTTCTTCACCACAGATGCCCAAACGTGACATTGGAGGGCGGGTAAGTTCCGATGAGCAGCCCGTGGGCGATGTCCGACGCAGAGCCCGGCGCACAGTAGGTGCTCAGGGATGGCTAGCGCCTGAATCACTTCTCTCACTTCTCCTCTCCTGGGGAAGTGTCCCGGGGGCGCCTCCAGGTGCCCCTGTGTGCCCTGCCTCAGTGGGGCAGGGTACACCAGTGTCTGTGCCCAGGCGGCTGGATCTATAGGATCCCAGAGCTGCCCAGGCGCTGGCGGTGAGGCTGAGAGAGGAATGATGCCTGGTTTTAGATCCTGTGTCTTCATAGCTTGGAGGCTCATGGCCCCGCTACCCCTTCAAGTTCCCAGGGGTGGATAGGAAGTGCCGGCCTGCAGTGGGGGCTTCTGATTCAAGTCCCGGAGGATGTCTGTTGGCCTCCCACTAAACTTTATGCCCTGCCGTCTCATCAGATGGGAGAGAACACATAGAAATCACAATGTAGTCAAAAAGGACCTGTGTGGAGGGAGCTATGGGCTTCAGAAGCAGAAGAGAGGAGACGATTTACTCTTCAGAGGTAGAGAGAAGGCAGGGAGGCTTCCCAGAAGAGGCGGCTCTAATCTGGGTTTTGCTGGATCAATAAGAGTTTGCTGGGTGGACAAGTTGGAAAAAGCCATCTGGAGAAGAACAGAATGCAAAGAGGAAAGAGGAACCACGTAGGTCCCAGGGTAGCAGGCCAACCAGGGGAGAGGGACGGCTGGGTCGAGAAGGGCTTCGAGTGAGAACCCAAGGGGTGTCTGGTTATCCCCACACTTGAGCCCTACCTGTCCACTGCAGATCGAAGCCAGCAGGGGGCTGTCCGCCTGGCCAGACCCGACCCTATCCCCCTGGACTCTCTTTTCCAAATGTTCTCTGGCCACAAGCTCTGCTGCTTGTGGGTCAGTCCTAGGCTGGTGGTACCAGCAGAGGCTCTTGGCTCTGGAGGGCTGAAGTAGAGCAGACGAGCAGTGTCCAGAGCCTGGGGTCTGGAGTCATGAAGACCTGGGTTCAAGTCCTAGTTCCATCACTGACTCCATTCTCTGAGCCTCCCCTGTGAGTTGGAGTCATAGTGCTGCTCCCGAGAGTTGTCAAGAGGAGGCCAAGATGACAATAACGGCAGCTGCCTCGCCCGGCACTTACTAGGTGCCCACGGCCCTGTCACACTGAGCACACTCACCTCGTCTATTACTCTTCACACCCCTCTGAGCTCGGCTTAGCATGATGCTCGGTGCTTGGCCCTCAGTAGCTGCTCCCTCAGATTTGAGGTTTCTGAAATCCCTCCCTCCACCTGCCCCTCCACGGACTTTCTTTCTGTCTTTTTTTAATGTTTATTAGTTTTGAGAGAAAGAGCACGAGCGGGGGAGGGGCAGAGAGAGGGGGACAGAAGATCCAAAGCAGGCTCTGTGCTGACGACCATGAGCCCAGCGTGGGGCTCAGACTCACGAACCGTGAGATCATGACCTGAGCCGAAGTCAGATGCTCAACCGACGGAGCCACCCAGGTGTCCCTCCTTCACCGTGCTCCTATCTGCCCCTCCCCCGCCTGGTTGACCAGAGGACCCACAATGGGCATCACTTTCGGGAAACTGGGGCGCACAAATCCCGGAGGAGCAAGGTCAGAGCACAGGCCATGAGGTGGGCTGGGTGGCTGGTAGAAAACGGGATCCCACGTGTGCCAAAGACACATACGCGCACACACCCCTCGGGAGACCTGAACTGGGCTGGTTCAGTGAGATGAATCTCTCTCTGCTCTCCCTGCATTCACTCTCTCCTCTTCACTCCCTTGGCGGCCGTCACATGTGTCCCAGCAGATGTAGCCGCAGCTGTGCACAGACATCCGCTGCAGGTGCACATGGTCTTTCATCCGCTCGGGCCCCTCAGTCGCATCCCTGCGCTTTTTGCCTGCGTTCGCTGTCCTGCCCAGTGCCTGAAGGGGGTGGTGAGGGGAGGGGGGCACACCAGATTCTCCCAAGTGCCCTGGTAGGTTTGAGGTGCCCGGTGGTAAGCTCTCGCTGACATTCCAGGTGCCTGGCTGTCGGGTTGGGGGTAGAGGAGGGCCTTGAGAGCGGGGAGGGTGAAGCAGGGCGAGCCCGTGCGCAGCCCCAGAGATGCGGGTGGCAGGAAGTGGTTGGAACGTCGCAGAATGTTGGAGGTAAAGCCACGGGGGCTTGCAGGTGCGTTGGGTGTGGTGTGTGGCAGAGAGCGAGGAGTCGCGGGTGACCCCAGGCTTTAGCTAGAGCCACAGGAAGGCTGGAGCCACCCTTCAGAGATGCGACAACTTGGACGATCAGGCTCAGGACAGCTACAGGGTCAGCGGCATCCAGAGGTCAGTTTTGGGTTAAGTCTGGGATGCCCATTAGACGGCAGGGAGGAGATGCCAGGAAGGCATTTAGCTAGGACAGCCTTCTGGAGGAGGTGGTGCTCTACTAGAGCCTTACAGAGGACAGAGCGAGCCCCGCAGAGGACCCAGGCCTGGGCCGCGCGGGGGGCAAAGAGCAAAGCTGGGACTTGAGGTCCCATCCGTCTGACTCCAGGTCTGTGCTTCCTGCTGGGACGCACGCGCCGTCTGCCCCACAGTGTGCAGGCCCTGCACTGGGACACAGAGATGAAGGACCGCGTCCTGCCCCATGAGGCTGTCTGGGGATAATGGCCTCATTTCTGTAGAGTCCCTGAATCCTCTAGAACGTAGCCCCCTGACAGCAGGGACCGGCTGGTTGTTCTCTGCTCACTACTCCCCTGCCCTGCCTAGCTCTGCAGGGTACCAAGCACATAGTAGATGAATAAGAAAATGTGAGACCCTCTGCCTTTCTTCCCCACATTCACTCAAGTATCTATCCAGGCCAGGGATGACTCAGCCAGTTGTGCAAGGTTTCAGGACACACCCAGTGCCACACAGGGCTCCCCAGGGACTGGCACTCAGGTCCCTGGGCCCCCAGAGCTGTTATAGAATTCTAGACGCAGCCCCCACTCCCCCCCACCGCCCCCCGCAGTGCACAGTGGTATAGGCCCTGGAGGTAGAGGATACCTACCTGGGTTCCGATTGTAAAGCCACCTTTTCAAAGCATGTCCTAGTGGGAGACGTATTAACTGGTTTGAGCCCAGTTTCCTTTCCTTTTCTTTTTTTTTTTAAATGTGTATTTATTTTTGAGAAAGAGAGAACTGCAAGGGAGGTGCAGAGAGAGACGTAGAATCTGAAGCAGGCTCCAGGCTTTGGGCTGTAAGCTCAAAGCCCAGTGTGGGGCTTGAACTCACGGACCATGAGATCATGACCTGAGCCAAAGTTAGGCATCCAACAGACTGAGCCACCCAGGTGCCCGCCCCACCCCCCCCGCCCAGCTTCCTTTTCTATAAAACTTTATGTCACAGGATGTTTTTGAGGAGTAAATGATAAAAATCACATGGAATACTTAGCCTAGAGCCGGGTGGGCATCAGGCCACTGAGGAAGGATGGTAATATTATGTTAGTAATTGGTGTTCATCACAATGGTTGTTCATAGCTCAGGGGCCTTGCCCATCAAGTCCTGGCTGTGTCCTTGGAGACTGTGATGGCCGAGCCCACAGCAGGTGCTCGGAAGCCATTGCCAGTGGCAGGGGTGCGGTGGGGGGCCCTCTGCGCAGCCAGATGCAGCCTCCCTGACCCCCACCCTCCTGCCACAGGGACAGCAGCAGAGCCGCGTGACTCTCTAAGAAGGCGCGGTTTCTGGAATTCTCTCGATCTCTATCTCCCTTCGGCCCTGATCCATTTCCTTATCAACTTCAGTGGCTCTCCGCGCTCCGGTGGATGACGGAGAGCCAAGGTCTCGGTGCCCTTTGCTCTGGCTTCTATCTGCCTGCTTCCAGGCGGCTGGAGCCCCAGCTGCCACTCAGCTGGAGAAGTGTCAAAACTATTAAATTACAGGACGCAGGCAGGTGACAGGGCAATACTTGTCATCTACCTCTTGACAGGGCCCCCTGGCCCTGAGCCTGCAGCAGGGAGAGATCTTCACTTCCCTGTAATCACAGTCTTGGACTTGAAAGCAATCTTCTGGAGGTGAGAGCTGATGGTGACCAGGCGTGGGCGATTCGAGCCAGGACAGCGCCCAGTGGGGGGTGCCCAGACAGGCGGATACATCACAGGGGCAGCTGGGCTGGTAGTTTTCTCCTTTTAGCTTTTATTAGTTTTTTTGAAAGATGAAAGTGGTACCAGTGCACTCTGACAGCACAAGCCGTGTGGAAGTGTGTAAGGATCTTAAGTGTCCTGTTCATCTGGGAAAACCGCTTCCCAGATGAAACACTGTGATATGGATGGGAATGAACTTGCTGGATCGTGCGTGTTAAGGGCCCTTTGGATTCACTGCTCCTTCAATCCAGTCACCAGCCCCTGGGGCAGAATTTGCCATTCTCCCCACCCCCACCCCCCTGCCCTTTTTAAATTTTACTCATTTATTTTGAGAGACAGAGACAGAGCACACAAGTGAGAGAGAGGCAGAGAGAGAGGGAAAGAGAATCCCAAGCAGGCTCTGCACCATCAGCACAGAGCCCAATGTGAGGTTCAAACCCACCAACTATGAGATCATAACCTGAGCCAAAGTCAAGGGCCGGACACTTAACTGAATGAGCCCTCCAGGCACGCCTGCCATTCTCCCTTTTTAAGGACAGTTAAGGGGCTCAGAGTCACAATGGGACCTCTACGGCCACTCAGCTGATCTTGAAGCAGGGGCTGCACCCACAGCTCTGTGGCTCCAAGGGCATGCCCTTCCCACTGGACCCCCCACTGCCTGTTAATGGCTTGCTGTAAGTGTATAAAAACTTGTCTTTCTTTTATGAACGTGGGATCATACCCTAAGCATCATTTTGCAGCTCGCTTTTTAATTTGAGGGTGTTTTCCCATACATGGACCTGCGCCCCCACTGTCCTTTGTCGTTGGCACCCACATGTATTTTAGCTGGTCCTTTTCAGGCACATGTTTAGGTCTTATTGGGCTTTCGCTATTATGGCAAGGCCACAATGCCCATAACTCTCTGACTTCTTTTCCCACTATTCATTTTGACTATACAAGCACTGTATGCATACATTCTCTTTGTCAGATAGTTGAATGATTCAGTTAAAAACTTCCCCAGGCTACCCTGTGCTGCGATCACCTCCCTATTTCAGTCCCCTCGTCATAGTAACCGGTGTTATCAGCGTGGCTATAATCCGTACAGACATATTTCTATGCATTGTATGCACACAAATGCACGTGCTTTTGCTGTGGGTGCTTTTTTTTTTTTTTTAAACACACAAGGTACCACGCAGTATGCATTTTTGTGCATTTGGCTTTTTCCTCTCCTAGCGACATCCCAGACAGCTTTCTATGTTGGTGCATAGACAGCTACCTCATTCTTTTTAATGAGGCTCTGTGTCATGCTTCGTGGGACAGATGCATCATCTTTTTTTAAAGTCATTTCCCTATTGATAGATACGTAGGTTCCTTCTATTTTCCCCCTCTCTATAAAAAGGACCGCAATAAACATCCTTGTGTGGTCTCAGCCTATGCACGTGGGAGCAGGTCCCCAGGATGGATACCCGGATGTAGACTTGCTGGGTTGAAGGGGTTGCCAGGCCGGGGCTTGCCTGAGGCCGCAGGAGGTTGGGGGAAGACAAGAGCTGGGGAGTCCAGGGGGCTGTCTGCGACAGGAGGCGACACGGTGGGGGACTCACTCACTGCGGCTGTGTTTTACGGTGGCTCCTGGGGCACTGCCGGCTCCAGGAAATTCTGTGGTCTATGCAGCTACCTAGACTGCACGGTCGGAACAGCCCTGTGGGCCCCACTCTTCCTCCTTGTACTCACCGGCGGGTGGCGGGGGTGGCTGATCCAGACTGACCAGTTGTTTTGGTGCTTTGGGTCCATTTTTTGCTACTTCGTTCCAGGGAAGGTTGGGGGAGAAGGTACCAAGTGTGACCTGGACAGCGGTCAGGCAGGCCCTGCCCTCCGGAAGCTGCGGCTGCGCGGGGACGTGACCTTCTGCCCTCCGACCGGGGCTGTGATAGGGGTAAGTGCAGGCTGCTACGGGGACACCAGGGTGCTTCTGACGGAGCAGGTGGTGGAGGGGAGCGGTCATGGGAGGTCCTGTTGGAGGGGACAGCTGAGCGGGTCTGAAAGAACGAGTGTGTGTCCATACGTAAACATCTCCGTGTTTATGTGCTTGCGTGCTGGTTGCTTATTTGTGGATGGTTGGTTCATTTTTCAGCCAATCACCAGCCTCCCCCTTCATCTGGTAATGAAAGGGACAGTCTCTGCTTTCTTGTTCTCTAGTTCCTTCTTCAGCCCCGCCCTTCCCTACTGTGAGCCCAGAAATGGACATGTGACCCTGGCGGGCCAATCAGAGCACTGCATCTGTGAGCCCCAGGAACCGGTTCAGCTTCAGCCAATCACAGCCTTCTCTGGGATTTTTCTGCTGGAGTTCGTGGGAGAAACTCCCTGTTGCCTTCCCAGGAGTCATGGGAGTCAAGGTGGATGCTTGGGGTCACCTTCCTGGCCTCATGGGGGCGTGCCCACGTGTAGTGGGAGAAACTGGAGCCATTTTGCAGAAAGAAGCAGAGATGGAAATGAAAGGTGGCAGAGAGAGCCCTGAGGTTGTTTCTGGCCATTCCGCTCCTGAGCTGTTTCTTGATCCCTGGGGCCAAACATCCTTCTTCTAAAAGTCCTCAGGGGCTGGACTGGGAGCTGTTGCTGTGGTCCGGAGCCCTGATCAATGTTGGGGGCAGGGAGGCTCACGAGGCTATGAGGGCTCCAAATGGGCAGGAAGCTGGTGGGATGGGTATGAGGGTCTCTTCCTAGCCTCTGTCCATTCTGTCTTGGAAAGCCCAAGTCAACCATGACTTTCTTTTTCTTAAAATCCTTCAATGGCTTCCCATTTTCCTTAGCATCAGGCCCAAACTCCTTAGCCTATTGTGCTGGGCTCTGCATGGTCACCCCTCACTGACCACAAATTAGGTTCCAGCCATACCAGCCTTCTTGATGCTCCATCCACAGGCCATTCTCTCTCCTCCAAGCCTTTGTACATGCTCTTCCCTCAGCCTGGAACACCTTTCCTTCGTTTTTCTACCTTACCATCACCCTGGTTCTTTACCAGGATGACTCCTACTCTCCTTCTGGTTTGAGAGTAAAGACCTCTTCCTCCAGGAAGCCTGCCTGCTCCCTTGCTCTGAGGCCCCAGAGCACGACATTAATCAACCCTACTATCCAGCTCTAGATATCCAATATCTACAATAAACTCCGGGCTCTATGAAAGCAAGATGATGTCCATCTTGTTCATTCCTGCTCTCGTGCACACCAGCTTCCAGCATGTTGTTAACACATAGGTGGGGTATGAATCAACACGTGTGTCCTACACGCATCAAGAGGCATGGGGTGTGGTGGGAGCAGCTCGACTCTGGAACAAGACAGACCTGGGCTGTGATCCTGCCTGCACTTGGCTGTCCCTTGGCAAATTACTTCATCTTTCTGAGCATCAGCTTCCTAAAATGCAGATGGCATATTCTTGCCCACCTGTTGGTTATTGTGAGAAAGGCAGCGAAGGTGGTCGCGTTTGGAGAACTCAAAGGCATTAGGCAAATGGATAGCTTTAGTTTCAAAGCAACAGGTCCATAGAATCTATAAACAGAAATTGTTTTTGGAAAATTGGTTGGTCTTTTCTCCCCCTCGGGGTGAAAACAGGAAACACCCGAGCTATAGGGGAAGGGAAAGGGAAAGGCATATACACTGAGTGCTACAAAGTGCTGAAGCATTTTGTATTAAACAAGCTGAGTATATTAATTTTCCACAGAAAGGACTTTGATGACTTTCATTAGATTTATCGTTAGGTATTTTATACTTTTTTCTATTGCATATGGTATCATGTTTCTTTTACTAATGCATAGGCATGTAATTAGCACTATGTAATTGATTCTGTATCCAGGAAACTTGTTAAGCCTCTTTGTTCTGTTTTAAAAGTTTTTTTTAGTGTTTTTATTTATTTTTGAGACAGAGACAGAATCGGAAGCAGGCTCCAGGCTCTGAGCTGTCAGCACAGAGCCCGATGTGGGGCTTGAACTCACGGACTGTGAGACCATGACCTGAGCAGAAGTCGGACGCTTAACTGACTGAGCCACTCAGGCACCCTAGAGCTTCTTTATTTTGTATTGAGGCATAACTGACAAGTAAAACAGTAAGATCTTTAAAGTGTACAACATAATAATTTGATACATGTATAAACTTCTTTATTCATTCTTTTTATTTATTTGTACATTTCTTTTCCTTTCCTACCCTCCTGGAAGTGGCAAGGGCAGGTACTCTTATCTTATTCCTGATTTTAGAGGGACAGCTGTTTCTGCAGAGTCATAATGTATGATGCCTGTGCTAGATTTTTCAGAAATGTTCTTTATCATGCTACAAAAAGTCTACTTTATTCTTAGTTTGCTGGGAGTTTACCCTTGAAAGGATACTGGATTTTATTTACATCAACTGAGATATTCATGTTGTTTTTCTCTTTTAAGCTTTCAATGTGATGATTTACAGTAATCAATTTTCTAATGTTAAACCAACCTTGAATTCCTGAAATAACTGCAGCTGAGTCACGATATGTTTATTGCTTATACATTGCTGGATTTCACATGCTAATATTTATGTTTCAGAAGTTGACATTTTTATTCTTTTGTGGTTTTTTTGGTTTTCACTTTTTTTTTTGGTAACCTTGTTCTTGCGGGAATTTGGTTTGTAAAATTTCATTCTCATATTGTTCTTGTCCAGGAAAATGGAAACGTTTTTGAAAGATTAGATTGATCTCTGTCTGGAATATTTGAGAAAGCATGGGTCAAACGTCTTTGTGGGAAGTTTCTACTTCGACGCCAGCTTCCTTAATTCTTTCATCATGTGATACGATTATGCAGTTTTTAAAACGTCTTTCTGAGTCCGTTTTTGTAAATTGTATTTTTATAGGAATGTGTCCGTGTCATCTGTTTTCAAATTTATTGTCATAATGTTGTTGTCCTCGTATTCTCCTATTTATTGATCTATTTAATCCCTGCGGCTTCTGTGGTCTGGTCTTTTTCCCATGGTTGATGCTGTTTATTTTGTGTCTTCAGTTCATTATTCTCATTTCTTGTTTCAACCATGCCAGGGGCGACTTTTTTTTTTTTTTAATCTTTTCAAAGAGCCCACTTTTGGCATTGCCAACCCTGTCTACTGGATGATTGCCTTACCCGCTCTGTGCCCTCGTGTGCCCATCTGTAGAAAGAGGGACGGCAGTAGTCTGCCTTCTGTATGCTTTGGGGGAAGGTTACTCCAACTAATTCATGCTAGAATCGTGCTCTGCACATAGCAGGCGCTCAATAAGTGTTTGCTTTTATTTCTGATTTTGCCAATAATTTCCGTACGTTCTCAATTCCTTCCCTACCTTTCTTTAGGTTTATGCTATTGTTCTTTTTCTAACTTCTCACTTTGAATGCTTATGTCGGTTTGGAAAGCTTTTCTTTTCTCACGTGAGCATTTAACGCTACGATTTTCCAAACAGCGCCTTCCTGATGCCCAATACGTTTTGGATTATTGTAGTGTCATTATTCTTTTTCTATATACTTGAGAGTTTTCACGATTATTTCCACCTTAGTTTTGAATTGCTTGGAGATGGGTTTTAACGTCTAAACACAGGGGCATCATTTTCTAGTTATCTCTTTTATTACTACTTGCTAATTGCTTGGCCATCCGAGACCATGTGCCAACACTTTGAAATGTGTGGAGCTTGCTTTGCATCTTGGCACAAGGTCCAGGCTTCGGTCTATAGGATCTGTTCTTCTAGCTGTTTTCTGCATGCTTTAAGATGCCTACTTCGTTTAACGAGTTGTAAAGCTAATCAGTACTTTTACATTGCTCTTAAATAATACAAGCCTAGAATGCTCTGATCACCACTTACCTGGGGTTCTTTTCTGGTATCTTTTCTCTCTTGTTAATTTCTAACCTCTGAAATTAGAGTTTGTTGCTGGAATGTATTGTCTCGCACATTTGATGTTAGTTCAGGCTTCCCGGGTGATAATCAGCGCGTTGCCATTCTGTTTTGTCTCTCAGTCCTTATGTGGTGACTCAGTTTCCTTATTAACCCACATTCTTTAGAGTGGAATAATCTTTTGCCTGAAAAAGGCTTGCTTTAGAATTTGTCTCCTGCTGGGAGTACTCTTTGTTTTTGTTTGTCTGGAAATGTCTTTATTTTGCCCTTTTTAAAAGATGGATTTGCTAGCCTTTCTGTGTTGACAGTTAGTTTTTCTTGGTGCAATGGAGATCGTATCTCACTGTCTTTTCCTGGCCTCCGTCGTTACTGCTGAGAAGTTAGCCATCCTTGCTTTATAGGCACCTGTCTCTTTATCTTCTGGTTATTTAAAAAAAAAAAAAGGTTTGTTTATTTTTGAGACAGGGGAGGGGCAGAGACAGACAGGGGACAGAGGATCTGAGGTGGGCTCTGCGCTGACGGCAGCAAGCCCAATGCAGAGCTTGAACTCACGAACTGTGAGACGGTAACCTGAGCCAGAGTTGGATGCCCACCTGCTGATCCACCCAGGCGCCCCCAAACAGGGCTATTTTTAATATTCTCCTTCTCTTTCTTTCTTTGGGATTTGGCAGTTTTACCACGTATATTTCAGTGTGGCTATTTTAAAGTTTATCTCATTTAATATTTTTGGGAGGAAATTGCTGTCTTCCAACAATTCTGGATAATTGTCTTCAAGCAGAGTCATTCACTGTCATTGTCTTTTAGCCTCCTTATTTTCCATCTTGCTGTGTTCTTGGGCTGCGTCCTTTCAGCTCACTGATACTCTCTTCACTTGTTCCTGTGTTTTTTTTTTTTAAGTTTATTTATTTATTTTGAGAGAGAGAGAGAGAGACAGAGAGAGAGAGATATGAAGAGACAGAGAGAGAGAGGCAGAGACAGAGCATGAGTGGGGGAGAGGCAGAAAGAGAGAAGAGAGAGAGAATCCCAGGAGGGAGAATCTCCACACTGTCAGTGCAGAGTTCAATGGGGGGGATCAATCTCACAAATGATGAGATTGTTACCTGAGCCTAAATCAAGAGCTGAGTGCTTAGTCGGCTGAGTCACCGAGGTGCCCCTGTCTTCATTTTTTTCTTTAAAGAAAGTTTTTTTTAATGTTTACTTATTTTTGAGAGACAGAGAAATGGCATGCTAGGAAGGGAAGGTCAGAGAGAGAGGGAGACACAGAACCCGAAGCAGGCTCCAGGCTCTGAGCTGTCAGCACAGAGCCCAGCGTGGGGCTTGAACCCATGAACTATGAGATCGTGACTTGAGCCAAAGTCAGATGCTTAACCGACTGAGCCACCCTGGCGCCCCTCTTCATCGTTTTCAAATCTGCCATTTTCCTTAGTTCATTCTGACATCTGTCTGTCTGTCTATATTTTTTCAAGAACTGGCTCATGTGATGGTGGAGACTTGGCAAATCCAAACCCTGTTGGGTAATCCGTCAGGCTGGAGACTCAGGGAAGCATTGTGGTTTGAGTCCAAAGGTGGCCTGTTGGACGACTTCTTTCCTACTCAAGAGAGGTTAATCTGTTCTGTCAAGGCCTTTGACTGATTGGATGAGGCCCACTTGCATTATGGAAGGCAATCTGCTTTACTCAAAGTTCTGTGATTTAAATGGCGATCTCATCTGCCGCCACACCCCATCAGGGAAACACCCAGAATAGTGTTTGACCAAATTCTGGGTGTTTCCCTGACGGGGAAATAT